ATTACTCATTTTGAACGACACAAAGAAAATAGACTGGCAAAAAAAAAAAAAACAATTTAAGGACCTTTGCGATTATAACAAAAGATCAAACATTCATGTCATTTTAGTACTAGAAAGAGAGGAGAAAGAGGTCAGATCTGAAAAAAATAGAAGAAATAGTAGCTAAAAACTAGAAATAATAGTTGAAATTTTCCCAAATTTTACAAAAGACATAAACCTACAGCTTGAAGAAGCCAAGAGAACCCCAAACAGGATAAACCCCAAGAAATCCATGCCAAGACATTTAGTCAGACTTCTTAAAAGGCAAAGAAAACATTTGAAAGCATTAGGAGAGAAATGACACATGGCCTGTAGGAGAAAAACAATTTGATAGTGGATTTCTCATCAGGAAACATGGAGACCAAAGGAATTGATACAATATTTTCAAAGGAATAAAGGGAAAGAAAAGTCAACCCAGAATTCTATATCCAATAAAAATATTCATCAAGAATAAAGGGGAAACCATGATTCTCAGATGAAGGAAAAGGAAGAGACTGTCATTAGTAGACCTATCCTAAAAGAATGTCTAAAGGGATTTCTTGAAACAGAGAGGAAATGATAAAAGATGGAATTCTGGAACATCAGGAAGGAAGAAAGAACAACAGAAAGAGTCAACATGTAGTAAATAGACTTTTTTTTTGAGTATTCTAAATTGTGTTTGACATTTTCTCTTTAACCATTTTTCAATAATTATAACACTGTGGTTCTCAGTGTATGTAGGGAAATATTGAAGACAATTATATTATAAATGGGGAGAGGGTAAAGGGACTTGAACAAAGGTAAAATTTCTCTACTGGAACTGTTAAGATGTTGACACCAATAAGCTGTGATAAGTTATATATAATGTAATGTCTAGAACAGCCAATAAAATCTATTCGAAGAGATATACTAAAAAACATTTTAGATTAATAAAAATGGAATTCTAAAATATGTTTAAGTAACCCATAGGAAGGAAGGAAAAAGAGAACAGATAAAAGAAATAGAAAATAAAAAATGAAGTGAGTATTCGCTAACATATTCATGATTAAATGTAAATAGTCTAAATCTGCCAATTGAAAGAGATTTACAAAGTGAAAAAAAAAGTGATGCACTATATGCGCTTTATAAGAAATCAGTTCAGACATAATGATATAGGCAGGTTGAAAGTAAAAGGCAGCTTTATTTGTGACAGCCAAAAATTGGAAACAACCAAAATGTCCCTCAGTAAATGAATGGTTAAACAAACTGTAGTATATTGATACCATGGAATACTACTCAACAGTAAGAAGGGAGTAACTATTGATGTTTGTATCAACTTGATTTGATCTTAAGGGCATTATGCTGGCTGAAAAAGTCAATCTTAAAATGACATATACTATTTGATTCCATTTATATAACAACAAAATTATAGAGATGGAAAACATACATGGTTGCTAGGGCTTTAGGAATGGTTGGAGGAAGGAAGGTGTGGCTAAATGAATAGCAGGAGAGAGAGATGTAGTGAAACAGTTTTGTATTTTGATTTTGGTGTTGGTTGCACAAATGTACATGTGATAAAAATAGCATAGAGTGATACACACACTGTACCAGTTTTAATTTCCTGGTTTTGATATTGTTATAGTTCTGTAAAATGGAACCATTAAGGGAAACTGGGGGAAGGTAAACTGGATCTCTCTTTACTATTTTTTTTTTTTTTAAGATTTTATTTCTTTATTTGACAGAGAGAGAGACAGCGAGAGAGGGAACACAAGCAGGGGGAGTGTGAGAGGGAGAAGCAGGCTTCCCTCAGAGCAGGGAGCCCAATGCAAGACTTGATCCCAGGACCCTGGGATCATGACCTGAGCCAAAGCAGATGCTTAATGACTGAGCCACCCAGGCGCTCCTCTATACTATTTTTGCAACTTCCTGTGAATCTATAATTATTTCAAAATATGTGTTTTTTTTTATAAAATTTTTTTTTTTTTAAGATTTATTTATTTTGACAGAGAGAGACAGCGAGAGAGAGAACACAAGCAGGGGGAGTGGGAGAGGGAGAAGCAGGCTTCCCGCCAAGCAGGAAGCCCGATGCGGGGCTCGATCCCAGGACCCTGGGATCATGACCTGAGCCGAAGGCAGACGCTTAACGACTGAGCCACCCAGGCGCCCCTCAAAATATGTTTTTAAAAGCAAAAGATGAGTTATAAGTAAGAAGAGTTTGAATATTTTAAACAAATGTGTTAGTATGTTTTATGCATTTTCAGGTAAAGGAAAGCAGGTATCTTTGATGTGTACCTCTAAAATGGTAGGATGCCTTCTATGACTAATTTAGTTTTTATTTTTATTAAAGAGACTTATAATGAAGAGGCAGCCATTTAACCACAATGAACTCTACCCTTTTTTTTAAGAAATTGTGTTAACTTCCCATTATAGAGGATTAGGATTTAGCCATTGTTCACTTCCCCCTTCACCATTAACGCAAACCTTATTTCTACTTCCCATTTTCCTACCATAGTTATCATTATTTCAAATAAGATCAATATTCTGTTTTTTTAAAGATTTTTTTTAAAAAAAGATTTATTTATTTATTTATTTGACAGAGAGAGGCAGTGAGAGAGGGAACACAAGCAGTGGGAGTGGGAGAGGGAGAAGCAGGCTTCCCACGGAGCAGGGAGCCCGATGCGGGGCTTGATCCCAGGACCCTGGGACCATGACCTGAGCCGAAGGCAGACGCTTAATGACTGAGCCACCCAGGCGCCCCTAAAGATTTTTTTTTATTTATTTATTTGAGACAGAGAGAATGAGAGACAGAGAGCATGAGAGGGAGGAGGGTCAGAGGGAGAAGCAGACTCCCTGCCAAGCAGGGAGCCCGATGCGGGACTCGATCCCGGGACTCCAGGATCATGACCTGAGCCGAAGGCAGTCGCTTAACCAACTGAGCCACCCAGGCGCCCCAATATTCTGTTTTTTTAAAGCAGGATAGTAAAAGCACTATACATGTCTAAGATATGATTGCTTTTCCACTCTTGCACAACTTTTTTGTTTTCCCCAGAATTAATAATTGTCTTGTGTTGTTCACTTACTTAGTTTTCTTTATATCTGTGATTGAATCCCAAACTCCATGAATTGCAGGTATCTTTCTTTTCATTCTCAGTATTAGTTTTCCCACTGTCCCAATTTAAAGAGGGAGGTGAGCATAGGTTGGATTTTTAGCATATTGGTATAAAGACAGTTCTTTTTTTTTTTTTTTTTTAAAGATTTTATTTATTTATTTGAGAGAGAGAATGAGAGAGAGCAGGAGAGGGGGGAGGGTCAGAGGGAGAAGCAGACTCCCTGCCGAGCAGGGAGCCCGATGCGGGACTCGATCCCGGGACTCCAGGATCATGACCTGAGCCGAAGGCAGTCGCTTAACCAACTGAGCCACCCAGGCGCCCTAAAGACAGTTCTTAGTGTTAGAAATTCCCTGTAAAACCAGAGTGGATTTAAATTGTTACCTTTTATATTTACACACATACCTTGTGCGGCTGCAGGTAGATGAATGAATATTCCTTTATTCCAGCTTATAGCAAAGAAAGTCTGTAGGTTTGTAAAGAGTCTGTATCCTAATTAATCCCTTTCACGTAGAGAAGTGAGGAGGGCAGTGGAGGAGAGGTGGGAACACTTGGGTTCTAGTTTTGATTTAGTCGATAATTGACCTTCTCAAGCTGGGATAATCAGGTAGCCTCCTTGGCCTCAGTTTTCTTTTCTTTGTAATAATGACAGAATCAGACTGGATTAAAAGTGAGACCTCCTTTAGTTCAAATGTAATTTTAAGTTGATAAATGTTTTACTTTAATCCTGACTTAACAGATTAATTTCCAAATGTTTAATTGGTTAATTCCAAATTAAAGATGTTTTCATTTTCAATACTTTTAAAGACATACCCTGAATTTTAGAGAGAAATTAGATCAAAAGACCTAAAGTAATTTCTAAAGCCTGTGGGGATGGGAAATTATAAAAGACAAAAATGGGCCAGGAATGTTGTCTTTTTTGTGCTTCAAATTATGATGTGGGAATTGTGGTTTTAACTTCCCAAGGATGCCTAGAAAGAAAAATTCTAAGGTCATCAGAAACCTCATTGTTTACTACCCAAGTAGGTTAAATTTGAAAAATATACACTGCTCTGAAATAATTAGTAGGGTTTTTATGGTGATTTTTAAAAATTATAGCTATTGAAGCTGGATGGATTCTTGAGGGTTTCTGGGAGAGTCCTTAGTGGTCTAGCAGTTTTTAGTTGTAACCAAGGGCAAAATGTGCTGTTTTTTTTTTTTATTTGCAAGTGTTTTATTTAATTGTGAATGTTGATATGAGAGATATTTGATATTTGGGATACTTAATTAGTTTTCAGAGGGTATTCAGGTAAATTAGATATGTTTGAAATTGAATTTGTAGGGCACCTGGGTGGCTCAGTTGGTTAAGCATTTGCCTTCGGCTTAGGTCATGATCCCAGGGTTCTGGGATCGAGTCCCGCATCAGGCTCTCTGCTCAACGGGGAGTCTTCTTCTCCCTCTCCCTCTGCTCTTCCCCCTGCTTGTGCTCTCTCTGTCAAATAAATAAATAAAATCTTAAAAAAAAACCCAAAAAAACAAAACAGGGCACTTGGGTGGCTCAGTCATTAAGCATCTGCCTTCAGCTCGGGTCATGCTCTCGGGATTCTGGGATCAAGCCCCGCATCGGGCTCCCTGCTCAGCGGGAGGCCTGCTTCTCCCTCTCCCACTCCCCCTGCTTATGTTCCCCCTCTCGCTGTCTTTCCGTTAGATAAATAAATAAAATCTTAAAAGAAAATGAATTTGTAAGTTCACCTGAGTTCCACCTTAGTGCATGTCTATTGGTGTACTTTTACATGTGTTTACTGATACTGATAATGTGCCTTATGGGATCCTATTAAAAGCAGGTATGTAATTTAATTTCATAACAAACATTTGTTCATTGGTTATTACTCACTAATATATTTTATTGGTTTTCAGGTACTTGAAGAAGCAGAAGCTCAACATTTATATCAGTCCATTTTACCTGATATGGTGAAAATTGCACTCTGTCTGCCAAATATTTGCACCCAGGTTAGTAGAAATAACTTCTTCCTCAGTAGCTTTCTTGGCACTCACAATTGAATTTCTTTTAGACTCTAATGGCCAAGGGTCAAAGAGAGAAAAGAGAGAGATGGGAAACAGTTTTTGCCAAAGAGTATAAGGATTTTGCTATACTGAAAAGAGGTTAGAGGCTAGAGGGAATGCTGCAAAAGGACATTAAAAATGCAGCATTCAATTTCTGAGCTTCAGTTTACACTGTTGAAGTTTGCTTATTCAGACTCCCTATTCTCTTTTTGTTTAAACAATCTCTGACTTAAAAAAAAAATGTCATTATTCCACAACATACTAATGGATTTAGAACATTTTATCTTCAGAATGGCTTACTACCTCACACTCCTTACCCCCCACAGTGGTGTATTGTATATCAAATGAGCTCATGGTGCTTTTTTAACTTTTAAAAATGAAAGAAAGAATCTGGTATTACTTCTTTTGGGGGGGAGTATATTAATTATAGCTACATAATAAATTACCTCAAAATTTCATGGCTTAAAGCAACAAACATTTATTATCTCACAGTCTCTGTCAGGAATTCAGGAGCAGCTTTGCTGAGTGGTTCTGGCTCAGGATCTCTTTTGTGGTTGCAGTCAGGGTGTTGATCAGTGCTGTACTCTTCTGAAGGTTTCACTGAGACTGGAGGAGCCACCTCTAAGTTGGTTTACTCACGTGGCTTTTGGCAGAAGCCCCCAATTTCTTTTTTCTTTTTTTTAAGATTTTATTTATTTATTCATGAGAGACAGAGGCAGAGGGAGAAGCAGGCTCCCCAACAGAGCAGGGAGCCTGATACGGGGCTCAATCCCAGGACCCTGGGATCACAACCTGAGTTGAAGGCAGGCACTTAACCCGACTGAGCCACCCAGGTGCCCAGAAGCCCTGTTTCTTGCGATGGCCCACTCCATAGGCTGATTGGGTTGTCCTCACGACATGATTGGTAACTTCTCCAGAACAAGCCACCTAAGGGAGAAAACAAGAAATTGGCAGTGTCTTTTTTTTTTTTTTTTAAAGATTTTATTTATTTATTTTGAGAGAGAGAATGAGAGAGAGAGAGCACATGAGAGGGGGGAGGGTCAGAGGGAGAAGCAGACTCCCCGCCGAGCAGGGAGCCCAATGTGGGACTCGATCCCGGGACTCCAGGATCATGACCCAAGCCGAAGGCAGTCGCCTAACCAACTGAGCCACCCAGGCACCCTGGCAGTGTCTTTTTTGACCTAGTTTTTGAAGGCACCTACTGTCACTCTTGCTGTTTTTCTGTTGCTTCCAAATTAGTCACTAAATCTAATCCACACTCAAGGAGATGGTAATTAGACTCTCTTAGAAGGAGGAAATATCAGGGTGCCTGGATGGTGCAGTTGGTTGAGCGTCTGACTCTTGGTTTTGGCTCAGGTCATGATCTCAGGGTTGTGAGATCGAGCCCTACATTCACTACACACTCAGTGCAGGGTCTGCTTGAGATTCTCCCTCCCTTGCCCTCTACCCCTCCCGCTCGTGCTCTCTTTCTAAAATTTAAAAAAAAAAAAAAATTTTTTTTTAAAAGGAGGAAATATTAAAGGATTTGTGGACATATTTTCAAATCAGCACCATAAGAGGTTTTTGGTTTGTTCTTTATAATTTTCTTCCTATGTTTCTCACAACAGTGGCTTGAATTTGCCTCTGTCTTTTGTGTCTAGAGCCAGATCCCTTGCTGCAAGGATGCTAGCCAGGGTTTTGCTAATACTGTTGCTTCACAGAGGCCCTAGGGACATTTTGGGTGAACCAGTTTACAAATGTGTGAAATGGTTTAACACACAGCAGTTTGTCATTGGGGGTACCCCCAAAACCACAAGCATAGTCATTGGGACAATCTAAAAACGTAGCCAAATGCCTGAGGGCCATGCCATCTTCAGTTGAGAACCACTGTATGTTTTTTGATGTGCCATATTTGTTAGCATTTTACTGTGATATTTCTAATTTTATGTAACTTTAATTTCACATCATTAATGCATTGTGTCTGAAATAAGTTTTTCTGTTGGGCAGGGAAAATATATATTAATACTCCTCTTCTTGTTTATGTTGGAAGTTTTTTGCTTACTTATATGTCATGTTCACTCTTTTTCCTTTTTCTCCTTGCTTTCTTCCTTACCTAGTAAAATCTCCCACTATCTCTTAGGTTCTGCTTAACTTTTATGTCCCCTGCGAAGCCTTCCCTACCTCTCCTAGCCAAAGTTAATCCCTCCTATAACATTCAAGTCACACTTAGAACATTATTTTGTAATTTATATCTTTATATAATTTCCCCCTACTATATTATATTCTTCTTGAAGGGAAATCCTCTTTGTGTCCCCAAGTTTCATGTGCTTAATTAAATGGTTTTTTAATTCAACTTGTAGTTCATAATTGATAGTATATAACCTATAGACATGAATCACTTAAATCATCTTCTCTTCCCCTTGCACTTAGGCAAGAGCATTTCCATATTTTATGTGATGAGATATATATTCAAAAACATCTAAATTTATAAGCTCTAATAAGGCACTTGGTAGAACAAAATCAGATTTGTGGCTCCCCAACATTTTGACCTGGCTAAAAACAAATTTGTTCTTCCATTCATGTATTGGTGGGGACAACATTTTAAATCTGGGCTTTATACTGTACTGAAGAGTAAATCCCTGCTATAAAAGTTAACATTTCACTTTGATATCAAAATATATCTTTGGCAAATTAAATTGCATATGTGGTTATTTAATGATTTATCACATTAACATTCTCTAGGCCAAACCAAAAGGTAAATTTTAGATTTTAAAAAGGAAATTAAAAGAAGGAAACAAATTTTGGACATGAACTTTTTGAAAGATCTTGGTTCATATTAAAACAGTCTCTTACTTTAGCTGAGCACTTGATAAGATCCACATTTTCTAGTTTTCCCCAAGTATGAGCTTTCAGTCATTTCTCCTCCAAGAAAATAGAAATCAATTACTCTATTTAAAATTGTACTGCTTTGTGATTTGGGGGTTAAGAAATGTTTGTGTTTATTGTTCATTAAGCCTAAAACATCACCATTGATTTTTAAAGTCATTTTTATGGATAACTTGGTAAATGGCAGTTAAAAGCTCATTTTTAACTAAAACTAAGTAACAGTTTGTTTGAAGCCATTGATACATTGTCACCTTTTCTAAACTCATTGCTGGGTTGTAAATAAATGTATAGGGTGGGAAATGGAAATCCATATGACCTGTTTCCTCTTTCTTAGAAATGGTAATTGCTAAGGCCTAAAAGGAGAGAATTTTGGATATTGTAGTGATTCTTTCCATTTCCCTTGTTTGTTTATCTTTCTATTTTCCCAAGGGAAATAGTTGAACTGCAAATTTAACCTTTTCTTTTTCTAGCAAACTCTTATTCTAGCACTGATGTACATTTTCTCTTACTTAGAAAAAAGTTAATTGTTATATCATTGCAGTTTTGATTTGTCTTGCCTGCCTTTCCTCGGTTTCATTTTTGGTGTTGATTCCTTAGATATGATCAGGACAGTTGTCTATGTATACTGGTTTGAAATGAATGCAGATACCCAGGATTCTTAGTTCTGGGTCTTATTGAAAGGCTGAAGGAAAAGCATCTTAAACATTATGTTGGAGCATTTTAAAACTTTACAACTGATACATAAACTTGGCTTTACAATCATGTCTTTGAAAACATGTAGTTTAAACATTTAAAATAGAATAAAACCCACTGAATATAATAGTCAGATCCCATGCATTATACTGAAAAGAAAAGGTCAATGAATTTGGATTTGGTACAACTAGAAAACATTTCCATCATAAAAACTTAGAAGGAAAAATGTCCTGTGTCTTCTTGGCTTAAAATGAGTATGTAGGAAATGCCTGTCTTCTTACAAGTTATACATAAGTCTGTATTCACATGTCCTATTAATTGCTTTAATAAAATTAGATTTAGGTCTCATTAAGAAATTGTCAAAGTAAAGTGTGATTCAGAATTAGAAGGAAAAGACTTATTTATTGAATTATTTTCCTTAGATCATTTTATTTAGGACTAAAATAGAAAAATTGCTCCATCCAGCAATCATAAATACAAGTGAGAATAAAATTTAGCATAGGTAACAATAATAGCTAAACTCAATGTTGCATTTTTATGTTTCATCTTTTGTTTTAATTTTTCATTACATGGGTAATGTGTTTTTATTTCCTACTTGCTAAAGCAATCTTGTTTTCCACTAATAAGTAATGTTTTGTGTTCTTTTCACTATCATTATTATTGATTAGAAATCTGCAGTTTGTCAAACAAGTACACTTTTCCAATCATCCTTGATGAACTGCCCTTGACTTCAACAGTACTGCTGATATAAGGATTCAAGAGTGGCCTGAAATTATTCCTGCCTTAATTTAGCAAATGCAATTTGGTGCCTCTGCTTTTGAAATTGCTAAACTAATTATTGCTCTTCTTGTCTGTATATTTTGTTTCCTCTATCAGCCAATACCACTCCTTAAACAGAAGATGAATCATTCCATCACAATGTCACAGGAACAGATTGCCAGTCTTTTAGCTAATGCTTTCTTCTGCACATTTCCACGGCGAAATGCTAAGATGAAATCCGAGTATTCTGGCTACCCAGACATTAACTTCAATCGGTATGTTTTCAGAGAACACCTCTTTAAAAGTGAAATAGAGAAAGGTGGAAGGAACTAATATTTGTCCAGTGATTTGCCATAGGCCAAACATTTTATGTCCAGTTATCTAATCTTTATAATGCAGTGAGTTAAGTGGTATTTTTGCCATTTTGCAGGCAAGATAATTAAAATTCAATGAAAATCTTTGTTATTATATGGTTACTCTCTATTATTAACACTAAGAAGGAGTGGGGAAACAATGAAAAATACCGTCATCTGTGTAAGAGAATTTATTTAAAATCCCAGCAAGAGATATCCATTTTATACCATATTCTCTTTGATTATGTAAATACCAGTTGTGAGGAACATGTTGTTAACCTAATTTTGAGTCAGTATGTTAAGCTAAGTTTGTTTTAAGAGAATAGTATTTAGTCATTTAGTTCAAAAATACAGTGAGCAATTACAGTATTCTCCACAGTTTGTTAAGTGCCTTGAGGGTTACAAGAGAAGGGATGAACCAGTTTCTGACTTCTGTGCCTTTCTCTCATCCACAAGGCCTTTATTCCTTCTTCAAGCATCGGTTCGTGTGTCACTGCTTCTGATAGCTCTGATCCTGCCAGGATAGGTTTGCTACTCCTTAGGGTTCCTATGAAGGTCTGTATATACCTCTGTTATATAGAGGAGAGGTATACAGCATTATGATACTTTATAAGAAAAGGGTATAGTTTAATAAAGGAAACCTTTCTTGAAGAAATAACTTTTGAACTAAGTATGAAGGGGTGAGTAGGAGTTTTTGCCAAGGAGAAAAGGAGAGAGGATTACATTGTGGGCAGGGGGTACAGCACGTACAAAAGTACCGTGGTAAGAAGCACATGACATCCCCAGGGACTGAGAGAAGACCAGTGCAGCTGCAGCACAGAGAGAGAGGATAAGTTGCAGAAGGAGATGGGGGCCAGTAGGCAATCCTACTGTGCCTAGTAGGCCTTCTAAGGCAATAGGAAGTCTTTAAAGGATTTGGTCTGGGAGGAGGGGGAAGCTGATGTATTTGATCTGATCTGCATTTTCAGAAGTTTATTCTGACTACAATGTGGGTACTGAGTAGAGAGGGGCCATAGTACAATGAGTTTACCCAGTTGGAGAGGCTATTGCAATACACCAGGAAGGAGAGGATGATAGCTGGGATCGTGTAGTGGTTGGGGTGGAGGTGTGGTGACATTTGAAGGGCAAGTCAGTGTGATGGTGACAGACTTGTTCAGTGAGTGGGTGAAAGGAGGCCTCCAGGGTACTTCTTAGGTTTGTACAACCAGGCATGTGCCTTTAGTGTTCTCTGCTTTTCCTCCTGTACCACCTACCCTACTTTGTTATAATTGCTTGTTTCATCCTTTCAGTGGGGACGGGGATCTTTTTTTTTTTTAATTAATTAATTTATTTGAGAAAGAGAGCTGGGGGAGGGGCAGAGGGAGAGAGAGAATCTCAAGCAGACTCCCCCACTGAGTGTGAAGCCTGAAGTGGTGCTCAATCTCACAACACCGAGATCATGACCTGAGCCGAAATCAAGAGTTGGACATTTAACTGACTGAGCCACCCAGGCGCCCCCTTCAGTGGGGACAGGGATCTTATCTTTCATTAGATTTCATGCATTGTAGGCCTTCAATAAATCCACATTGAGTGAATGAAAATAAACTTTACAGATGGAACGTTTGAGAAATTGATTAGTGGCAGAAGGCTAGGACTAAAACTAGTTCTTAGTCTACTGTTTTTTATTTTTCAAACTGCATCTTATCCTTAGCAATTAGGAAATGTTTTTGTTTTTTTTTTAAAGATTTTATTTATTTGAGAGAGAGAATGAGTTAGAGAGAGCATGAGAGGGGGTGGGTCAGAGGGAGAAGCAGACTCCTTGCTCAGCGGGGAGCCCGATGCGGGACTCGATCCCGGGACTCCAGGATCATGACCTGAGCCGAAGGCAGTCGCTTAACCAACTGAGCCACCCAGACGCCCCTATTTGAGAAATTATTAAAGAATTTTTTTATACTCATAGTTAAGGGCTATGCATCTCTTGCAGGTTTTCTTTTTTAATATAGAAAAGGAAATGGTCAAATTTTGTATGTAAGTAAACAGTGGAAATTTAATTTTGTAGAAATGTAATTATCTGTTTCCATGAAGAGTATTAGTTATATTAATCATAAGGATCTCCATAGAGTAAATAGTCTTTCTGTTTATCTGGAATAAATGTTTGATCAGCTCCAGGATCACCAGGGAAACTGTAAATTTTAAAATTTCTATCCAGAATTCTCAAGACAGTCCCAGTGGCTCTTTGTTTTTCTGGTTTTGGGTTTTGGTAAGCAGTAGCTCTAATTAATAATGCTTTAGAATTAGTGTTCTAATTCTAGGGGTGAGTAGTCAGTCAGTGCATGTATCTTGATGGTCCCTCAGATAAACCTTTGATGTCTTGGTTACAAGCTTTCTCAGATTGATTCTTGACTTAATTATAGACCTCTTAAATTTATTTTTTAGATAAGAACTATGCATTCTCTTACTAAGTTAAGGTTGTATCAGAGAGCCTCTTTTCCAAAAAAGTTATTTTTAAAACTGTTAGGGATATTTACAAACATACTAAAAAATAAAGAAAACAGTATTATGAACCCATGTTTATCCAACTTCAGTACTTACCAGAATTTTTTATTTTGCTCTGTTTTCATCTATCCAACCCCACTTTTTTTTTTTTTTTAATTTTAAAACAAATTGGAGATGTTAAGTTTCACCCATGAAGAATTCAGTATTTAGGGGCGCCTGGCTGGCTCAGTTGGTAGAGCATGCTACTGTTGATCTTGGGATGGTGAGTTTCAGCCCCATGTTGGGTGTAGGGTTTACTTAAAGAAAAAAAAAAGAATTCAGTATTTAAACTCTTCACAAATCACATTAGTCTGATATCTTGGTTAAATGTTTATAGCCCTTTTCTCAGAAATGCTTAAAGCTCTCTGTGGATAACTACAAATATACATTCCTCATCAGTTAAAACAAGAAAAAGCACAGAAAAGAGAGCGGAAGATTAAGCATGATTAGAATTAGCAATTGTAGGGGTACCTGGGTGGCTCAGTTGGTTGGGCTTGGTCTGACTCTTGAGTTCGGCTCAGGTTATGATCTCAGGGTCCTGGGATCAAGCCCCCATACCTAACTCCACACTCAGCGTAGAGTCTGTTTATCCCTCTCCCTCTGCTCCTCCCCCTCCTTTCTCATTCTCAAATAAATAAAATAAAATCTTTAAAAAAAAGAATTAGCAATTGAATGTAGAATATGACCTCAATTATGTTAAAATATCTGTATTTGTTAATACACCTCTACAGAGGTTCATGTCGGTGCATGTATGAGCATGGAAAATGGACTGGCAAAATTAATAAAATATGATTACCATTTAATGCTTTTATTTCATCCTTTTCTATATTTTTGAAATTGTTTATAATAAGCATATATTACTTTTATAATCAGAAGAAAAATAGTTACAAGTCAATCATCAGAAGTGGAGCAGAAGACAAAGTTAATAAAAAGAGTGGATGATTTTTGTAATTTGATTTTGAGGTTGGAATCCCACAGATTTTTTGAGCCTTTTTAAACAGCTAGCTTCTTCCTTCCTAACTATAGCCCCATAGACACAGTATCATAACCTCCCCTTCCCCGTCACTGTCCATTCAGCATGTAAGAGAAACAAGTCCACAGGGTCCTCTAAGGGTTGGGCCCCTGCTACACTGACAGCATTCTTCTCTCGATAATAAAATAGACCTCAGGTTTGGAATGGCTGACAGGTAGAAGTCAAGAAGTTTTGGGAAGCTTTGGCTTTTGTGACTTCCCATTTCCTGCCATAATTACCAGGATTTATATCAATTTTAAGACATGTGTTAATTTAATTTTTAAGATTTTATTATTTGGATAGAGTGAGCGAGCAAAAGAGAGAGCACAAGTAGGGGGAGCAGCAGAAGGAGAGAGAGAGAAGAGACTCCCTGCTGAGCAGGGAGCCTGATGCGGGGCTCTATCCTAGGATCCTGGATCATGACCTGAGCCGAAGGTAGATGCTTAACCGGCTGAGCCACCCAGGTGCCCCACATGTGTTCATTTTAAAGCATCATTGTTTTTCAGTTAAACTTCTGACAGGGGAATGCTGGAACTTCTTGGCAAAGGCACTTTTATCTTTTTCATTGTGCATGGTCATTTATCCTGAAGTCTGAGCTGGTTGGCTCTGAATGTCAGCATGTTAAGTTTGATGGGAAAAGAGGCTGAGCTATTTTTCTTAATGAAGGGAATATGGGGGCACCTGGGTGGCTCAGTCATTAAGCGTATGCCTTTGGCTCAGGTCATGATCCCAGGGTCCTGGGGTCAAGCCCCGCATCATGCTCCCTGCTCCGAGGGAAGCCTGCTTCTCCCTTTTCCACTCCCCCTGCTTGTGTTCCCTCTCTCACTGTGTCTCTCTCTGTCAAAAAAAAAAAATGAAGGGCATATGGATTTGAACAATATAAGCATTTTATGTAAATGAGTGTTGATTTCTTTGCTGGCCATGAGAATTTTTTTTCATGAGAATAATTCTTAATAACAATACCTAATATTTATTAAGTACTTGCTGTGTATCAATCACCATGCTGTTATTTTTTAACCTAATATATCAAACTTATAAATTAGGTTTTTTTTTTTTTCTTCATTTTTCAGATAAGGAGATGGAGACTTAAAGAGGGTAGGTTACTTCACTAAGTTAGCTGGTATAATTGGGATTCAAACTTAGGATAAAGTTAACCTCTAGAAGCTATGTCCCTTAACCAAATTTGGCCTCTCTTTGAATAATTACTCAGTTTAATTAATTAATACTTCTTATATCATAGCTAATCAGAAACTAGAACTATCCTTAGAAATAATTCTTGATCTGTAAAATGAAAGTCATTCATCAGTCCAGAGTGACCATGAGGGATTTAAACTCATAGTATCCCAATAGCATTTTCACCAAATGAGAGTTTTAATCTATTGAAGATTTGAATACAGGCATATTCCTGTCTCCTGGTTGATGGATATTCTTTTGGTCACCAGAATGTTGAAAATTAATTAAGGGCAGGTAAATCCTGTGGTAGTCTCCACAATTATTTTAGGGAATCCTAGCAGCCAGGATGTCAGCACTTGGCTGCACTGAGATGGTATGTGTTTAATAAGCCTAAACTAGCAAAAAAACCAGGATCATGACTATACATGATCATTGATGCTGTCTGTTAACAGCTTACTTTGATTCTATCTGTGGTAGTTTATAGGTAGGGAAACTTCTATACTAATAGGTTTAGTAAGAATAAATGACTTGTCAGCAGAACTGGGACTTGGACACTGTCTTCTGTTCAGACTCCATGCTCTTTCATTATGTCTCACTTCCTCTTGAGCAAAATGCTCTGAGAGTGCTCCAGAAATGGAAAACAACTAAAAGTTCCCCTTTTTCATGTGACTTATGAAAGATCAAGTACCTAATTTGATGAGCCGTTTGGTAAGCTGATTATGGAGCATTTTGTTGTGGTGGTGTTTTCTTTTTTGCCTAGTTGCTATTTATGATTATAGTTTCTGGCAGTTGGGAGTTGTGTGTGTGTGAGTGTAGTTAGCCTCAAAAGGGCTATGGCTAGCTAGTTGATTGAATAAGAAAAATGGCTAAGAGTATGTGGTGGGAGGCTGACGTCAATAAATTGAATAAGTCTTCCTGTTTTTATTTATTGTTGTGTTCTTCCAGCTCTGCTTAGTTATGTTAAATATCCCTGACCTTTTCCCCTGCTTGCCTTTCAGGGCCTAAACATTCATATAAAGGCTTCCAATGTGATTAGCATTGATGCTTCTGAGATTGCTTAGAAACTGATGGTCAGAGATTAATTGTGGGTTGTAGCAGTGGTCAGCCCAGGAGGCTTTTACATCTGCCTCTTCCCTGGATTGAAAGTGCTGTTGGGGCCATATGGCAGATTGCTTCACAGAAAAGCCAAGAATGACTTTGTGGCTAGGTTCCAGATTATCATTTGCATCCATTTTAAAGTGGAGGTTATAGTGCTTTGAGTTTGATTTACTGTGTACTAATGGGATTAGTCCTTAACTTGAAATCACATGAGGGTGTGTGTGTGTGTGTGTGGCTAGAATTCAATTCCAGTAATGTTATCAGTATTCTATTCAGGGAAAGATTTTATTAAACTATGATTTTCTTTATATGTATGGAAAGAAAAACACCAGTTAATAAGTATCTGACCCTTGATTGACTTATTTCCTTGAAAATAAAAAGTTTTGTTTAGAACAAGAGTGAGCTTGCCTGACTGGCTTTTTCTCTTTGCTTTTTTTAATACTCTCTAATATTCAGTTAAATGCCAAAGTGTCCTTCCTACATGCAAAGGGGTTATTGTGGTGTAGTTTATGTGCATGGTCATCTGCATACCTGCTGACTCAAAATACGCCTTCAAATATACACACCCGGGACTTGAAAACCTAAATTAAAAAAAAAAAAAAATGTTGACAAGTTAAATCTGATGGTGCTTGATTATTATAAGAAGGTCTCATTCTCTTGGAGTCTCTCTTTCTCTGGGTGCTTTTCTCTCTGTGTGCATTTCTGTCTCTCTTCCTTCCCTCTGTCTCCAACCTCATCTCGTTAGTCTCTTCCTCTCCGCCTTCCCAGCCTCATCTTTTTGACTCCCTCCTTTCTCGAGCTCATTTCTCAGTGTCTTTGTCTTCCTCCTCCCCCTAGATGCTGTCTCTCAGATACTACATCACTCTTGTGATTTTCACTCATGTTGTTTGACTGTGTTTTTATGTTATTTTCACTTGCTTTCATACCAGGATAATTCATTTTATTTGGGTGGCTACGCATAGTACTTTCAGACTTCACTGTTGTGGAATTTTAGACTTCATGCAAGGGTTTTATTTTATTTTTTATTTTTTATTTTTTTTAAAGATTTTTTATTTATTTATTTGAGAGAGAGAATGAGATAGAGAGAGCATGAGATGGGGGAGGGTCAGAGGGAGAAGCAGACTCCCTGCTGAGCAGGGAGCCTGATGCGGGACTCGATCCCGGGACTCCAGGATCATGACCCGAGCCGAAGGCAGTCGCCTAACCAACTGAGCCACCCAGGCGCCCCATGCGAGGGTTTTAAACCTGCTTCATCTTCCCTGACTTTCTACCTCCTTCTTGTCTCTTATTCCTACCACCTCACATGCACTTCCTGCTCCATCAGGAAGATGGGAAAGCATATTTGGCTACATAGTGATTTGAAATTAGGCTTGGAGCGACAAACAATACATTGAGATTCTGCTTGACTTTGTACCAATAAGGTTAGGATCTACAAGATAAATAATGGGTGCTCATTTGTAGTAGGTGATACTAACTGCCATATAATCTTCCAGGAAAGTCAATATTGCTAGGGTAATAAATCTATAGTCCCAAGAGGCTCTAAGGCTTACTAATTTGTCATTGTGGTTATGAAATATGTGGACTTCAAAATGATTTTACAAACAACTGACCACAGATAGAAGCTACGGACACTTTTTATGTTTGGGGGAATTATTTCTTAAGGATAACAACCATTTTTTTCCTTACTACATAGCAGTTCTGTGGAAGAGGAACTTTAATTGAATTATGTAGTACATCAGTTCATCTCTAAGAAAAGGTGATGGCTGCCTTTATATTCATACTGTTTCCCTCTACTAAGTAGTAAACCTAGAAAGGGATTTTGCAATGGTTCCCTAGATATTCATTTAGTAAATCACATTTATTTGATACTGGATGTTTAATTAAACTGCCAAGTGGCTTCTTCATTTTGACTATCATTTTGATTTAAATAAACTATCCTGGTTGACATATTGCAGAAGAAACCAAGCTGAAACCTGCACTCTCAAAGATCCTTTCTTTCAGCAGGCAGCTGGATTTTAAGAGTATTTGTAATAAACATTTTTGAAAAGTAAGTTCTTTTGGATGAGTAAAAATTATCATACAGGGACTCTTTTTTGAAAGAGAGAGAGAGAGTTGGAGGGGGGGAGAGGGAGAGAGAGAGAATCTTAAGCAGACTCCATGCCCATCGCAGAGCCAATTCAGGGCTTGATGTAACAACCCTGAGATGATGACCTGAGCTGAAATCAAGAGTTGGACGCTTTTAACCAACCGAGGCACCCAGGTGCCCCCATACAGGCACTCTTAAACTGTTTTTAAAAATCAGTTCTATTTTAAATTTAGCTAAAATACTTTTCTGACATTAGTATTCTTTTCAGGAAATAAGTATTCACATAAATTGTTTTCTCAGAAATTGACCCTGAACATAGAATTTCAGATCATTGAAAACAGGATCATTTGAAATCTACATTTCCTTTCCGTTTCCTAATTCATTTCAGTTCTCAATAGGATTTTCTCATGAAATTAACTTTTCCCTCTCTGCATAGTTACATAAGCTTGCTTTTCTAATCATGAAAAATTTTACCCATTTTGGCACTTATTAAAGTGAACTTTTACTTAAAGGATTTCTGGTTGTAAAGCCAGAGTATATGACTAGAGGCAGATAAATAATACCTCATCATTTATAGCTGCAGAATTTCTTTATAATTTTTAAATGCCTTTGGAAAGCTAGATCTTGTGCCCAAAGCATGCTTTTGTGTTTGAAATCCTTCAGCGAACTCCTTATTCAGGTCATATGCTTCCAAAGCCCTGCTTTTCTTTCCTCAGGATAAATTGCATTATGTGTTACCATTAACAATGCCACGTCATTTCGAAGAAGACTAAACTAAGTAGTGCAAGTCCAGGTTGCTGGAAACTAGATGAGTAGGCATTGTTTTGGTTACTGTGCAAAGGGTGTATCTGTTTCATTACCAAAGATTGGTCAGTCCCCAAATACCTTGTCATACCTGCTTGTCATTGTCATAACCACCCACTGCCCTCCCTCCCCCAACATAATCGTGTGGATTTTTTTTCAGATACCATTTTTGTTCAGTCATTTAACTACCTAGTAATATTATGAATTATTAGTATTTGCCATTGGGAAAATGACTGAGCATTAACTCACTGGCCTAATTGACTTTGGGGGGCCAGATGGTGCCTTCTCCCTGGAGGAACATAGATGGGACAAACACTGTTGTTAGAGAGTGCCATCTGACTCGAACAACTTTTAAGAAGCCTGGTTCTAGTTGGTTTTAGTCCTCCCCAGATGCTGTTTAAATCTGGTTTTCCAGTTCTCTGTCATTATAGAATTGCCTTCCTTTACTTGATAGCAATATATTTAGTTGTTTGTGAGTCATTAAGGCATTTTAAATCACCCTTTTTTATTTTATTTTTGGTCTTTTTCAGGTTGTTTGAAGGACGTTCATCAAGGAAACCAGAGAAGCTTAAAACACTCTTCTGCTACTTTAGAAGAGTCACAGAGAAAAGTAAATTCCTTTCATTCTTAATATAATTTTTATCACTGATGCGGACAGTTCAGATCAAGTGGCAGGTCAGAAACATTTTGTGTTCAAAGTACATCTTCCTGCCCAAACCAAATAATTCAGCATTATAGTCTAGATTTTATGCATATTATATACATTAAATGTGTGCTATGAATATGTGTGAGTTTTATATACTCTGAAATTAGACCAGCAGAACATATTTTAATAGGTTTTCATGAATGAAAAACAGTAAATTAATACTTTGAAAAGAAAGTATATAGACCAGGAAATACATTTTGGGTGTTCTTTATTTAGAGAAGCATTGATTATTAACAGTTAGTGTATTTGCAGAGGATAGCTGATTTGTTGCCTTCCTACTCATCCCTCTCTTGTGGCCCCTTTACATACTTTATAGAGTTCTTATAAAACAGTGTTGTACTTAGTGTTTATATATCTTGTTTTCCCAGAGACTAATCATAACACCTGAGGCAGATATCTTAACCAGTGCTGGAAGTTACTAGCTAATAATAGATCAGTATTGCTACTCTTACCCTAGGAGCTGGGCGACCACAAACAAGTTTCTTAACACCTCTAAGCCTCAGTTTCCTCATCAGTAAAATAAAAGAATAATGGTCAGTTACCTCATAGGATAGTTGTAAGTATGAAGTGAGAAGTTACATGATTAATAAATGTTAGCTATTTCCAGTAGATGGCCTTTCCTAAAGTCGATTATAAGGGAAACCAGAACATCTTAAAGGTTGCTTTTGCTAAGTAGAGCAGGTCAACTCTGGTCAAGTGAAATGAGTTCTTTTCAGTTCTGGTCATTCAGGTTGTCAGATTGTCTCTAAGTACATCATTGACTCATTTTAAGATCAATTTTCTCATATTCTTCCTTTAGTATATAATTTCACATTATAGTATACTTGGCATTTTTTTCTTTTTGAAGGTATTGCTATTAAACATTGTTTAGAGTTTTGGAAAGTAATCAATTATCAGAATGTTGATATTTAAGAGAAAAATCATGCTTCTTTGATAGAGGGTTATTTATTTCTTAACTTATTTTAGTTTTGATCTCTATACTGAATGAAATAATAAAGTAAATGAAGACTCATTTGGGTTTATGAGACATAAAGCCAAATTAGAATTTGTAATAATTTGTTGGAAAGATGAGTACATTTTTTGCTATTCTAAATTTGCTTTGCTAAATAGATTGAATTCCGTTATTATACCTAAGTAATTCAGAGTTTACCTTTCTGTCCTTGGATTCAAATCATGTATGTCTTTTCTAAAAGCTAACTTGTCTAAGCTTTAGGATTTTATTGGCTTTGAGGGAAAATGCTAATATTTTGTTTTTTCAACTAGAAATTTATAACCCATCATAAGTATTAGGAATTGGGCTGAAAAAGATAAATTATAACTAGACATTTTATTTTCTGACTTTTTCATTGTACATGGTAATTTAGTTTTTTGTGAAATATAGTGATACGTGTTGTAAGTTTTTAGGATGTAAAGCTATAGGCTTAAGGAGGAAATACTCAGTAGAACAAAAGAGGTTTGCAAGTTAATGATTAATTTATATAGAAGGTCTGAAGTCTACTTAATGGAAACTACAGAAACCTATTTAACCAATATTTCATCAAATCTAGGACATTATAAATGGTAAAAAGTGTCATTATGTTATGTACCACTAAGAAGGAAAAAACACTCAGGATGGGGAGTCATAGGAGACCTCTTTTACAGAGCTGATTCACCAAAGGTCTGTACCTTCAGTCTAAGGATAGATGAGAAATTAACCTGTGCAAAAAAGGGACAGTAAAGAAACTACAAGTGTCAACATGACACTGGCTAGAGAAGAAACAAAAAAATCTCCCCTGAGAATTTGAACCACAAGCTTCAAGTTTGAGTCTGAAGTCATATTATCAGTGTGATCCACAAAAGCCTGCAACAGTGGATTTAATTCACACTGATCTCAGGTTGATGGTGTTCCCAGATGACCAGAGAAGCAGATACACATCTTCTCTGGAAAAATTCGACTTTAATCTAGACCAGTGGCAGTGACTAGATACCTTCCATTACGAAAAGATGTATCCCAGTTTCAGAAGGTAATATGCCTTTTAGAATTGATAAAATATAATTCCATCAAGACTAACTTTTCAGTGTTGTCAGTGTCTACATTTTATATTTTTAATGAGGATCTTGAGGTTGAAAGATTTTCAAGGGCTTTCTGAATTATTTTCAGGATGGTTTTAGATAAAATATTTTGTAGATGGAGTATATAAAATTGATAATTCATATGCAGTGTATATTGTGATTTTATTAAGAGAAATACTTGATTAACCAAAATAATCTATTCTAGCATAAAAGTTACCTTTTTATGGAAGAGAGGCGGTAAGAATGCTAAGTATTTTTAATTATATCTAAAGAGCCATGTTCTGCCTTTTTTCTGGCTTTGCTAGTGATATTCATTTATGAATTTCTCTTGGGATCTCCTAGTATATATGAAGGACATTTAATATTCTTATCTGCTAAGTTGCTGAATAATGATACTGACATTAATTTCTTATTAATAGAATTGCTTCTCTGGTGTTTGAATTGTTTGATCTCTTGTGAGTTTTAAATATGTTATCCAGGGGCACCTGGGTGGCTCGGTTGGTTAAGCGACTGCCTTCGGCTCAGGTCATGATCCTGGAATCCCGGGATCGAGTCCTGCATCGGGCTCCCTGCTCGGCAGGGAGTCTGCTTCTCCCTCTGACCTTCCTCCCTCTCGTGCTCTCTGTCTCTCATTCTCTCTCTCTCAAATAAATAAAAAAAAATCTTAAAAAAAAAAATATGTTATCCATTTGCCTTAGAGAAATTTCTTAAGGAAATCTTAAGAATATTTTATAACCCGTATTAACAAAAGTCACCCATTAATATTCTACTGTAACAATTCCATATGATTTTTGAGTTGTTACTGCTTGTGACTAAGAGCAGAGAAATGTGGAATCATCCAGAGGAATGAAATGATTGTCAAGCTTTTATTGGGACTCTACCACCATTATCACTAATAGTTCCTGACATATCTCTCCTTGCTTAAGAGCTTTTCTCTTTTTTGCCTCCTTTTCTTTTTAACAGAAGAAAACAGAAGTGGCCTGGCCTTTTTAGTTTGTTCTTTGATTTGAATCAAACAAATTACTTTTGGCCTACTGATTTATTTGTTGCTTTTGCCACTAGTTAGAAAAAAAAAAAGTAAACCTAACAAAAAAGATCGCATTCTTCTAAAATATACTGCGTTTTGATCCCCTCATATCTATTCCTCCTTAAAAACTATGTCATCTTTCTTCTCTAACCTCATAGAACACAGTAATTCCTCCTTCCAGCTAAGGTGCCTTGTAAGTAGAACAATTGCATATCATCTAAGTCCTGGATTTAGCTTTGTCAACTCCAAAGGGCGTGCCAACAATTTTCTTTTTTAATCACAGACATTTTATTTTATTATAAAATGCATAAATGTGTATACATTCACGAGCCTTTAGATGTAAGATTTCTTTGACGTGTCTGCAGATTAAAATTCAGTTTTGTCTTTATTGTGTAAGCTACACTCATTAACGCACCTTTTTTTTTTCAGTGATTTTTTACAAATGTATTCAGTTTAGAAAACTTTACCAGTGGGTACCATTGTGCTGTTTGTATAGTTTTGTGTTTTAGTTGAGGGCTTACTATTTTATAGAAGGAGTTCCTACTGTAAGGATAATATTATTTTAAATCAGTCTTCTGTTGTATTCTAACACTAAGCTTCGTATTTTTCCAGTTAGTTTTATAACCATTGTTAGATCCATTATTTTACTGAATGTATATAATCTTTCCAAAATCAAAACTTCTTTTGCGTGTGTTTTCCTCTTATTGCTTTTGTAGAACCTACTGGCTTGGTGACATTTACAAGACAGAGTCTTGAAGATTTTCCAGAGTGGGAAAGGTAATAATAATTAAAATAATCTGGGAATCTTAGAATTATAAGGGCTCTTTTACCGTGATAGGATTCTATTTTGTAACTCCTGGAAGGATGGTTTCCCAACCTCTTAGTTGCCCTAGTGCTAGGGAGTTTCCTGTAAATGATCCATTGATAGCTCTCATTGTTGGAAAGGTCATGCTATCTGAATCAAAGCCTGTAAGCCTGTGATTTCTACTCTTTGCCTTAGTCTTTTTCTTCTGAAGCAAAGTCCTATTTAGGAGTTTTGTGTGAAGACACTAATATCAACTAGAACACCAATATTTATTTTTTTAAAAGATTTTATTTATTGATTTGAGGGAGAGAGTGAGAGAGAGAGAGAACACAAGCAGGAGGGAGCAGCAGGCAGAGGGAGAGGGAGAAGCCGACTCCCCGCTAAGCAGGGAGCCCAATGTGGGGCTCCATCCAGGGACTCTGGAGTCATGACCTGAGCTGAAAGCAGATGCTTAACCGACTGAGCCACCCAGGCACCCCTAGAACACCAATATTTAATACTAATCCTTACCCTTCTCTTTTGGTTACTATATTTGTATTTTATGGCTTTTCATTCTGGAGGACAAGATGGGGGGAAATTTCTTTGTTAAAAAAAAATGTAAATAGTAGTTACCTAGAATTTGTCTGAATGATAAGAATTTTGAAGTTTGGCTGTTCACATATACTATTGGCAGATTTTGTGAAAGCTGCTAATTTACTGTGTTTTTTTTCTTATTATTTATCTGCAAATAACTGAGAAGAATAATAACCAATCTGAGTTTATTCACATTTGTAAGTTCCTTTGTGCCCTGAACTAGTTAATACATTTCCTAATCTAGAGCAGATCCCAAAGCACTTAAAGAAGAGTAGATCAACTTTTTCATCAAACATGAAGGCATGATCAAACATACTAAATGCGTATTTTGCGTATGCATTCATGTTAACTCTCATTTTCACTTTCTCATAATTTTTATCATAGTTTGTAATTGTTTCCTTTGGAATTAGTGATGAAAGGGACTCACTTTTAAGGAAGTTAACTGGATGAAGCACATCTACTTAAGTGGCTTTCCTGTGGTGTTTCTTATCCATCAAAGATGTTTATTTGTGAGGTGAAAGGAAAACAAACTTACTTTAGGAGGCCGGCTGCATGGCTGAGATGATTATTAGTAGAGGGAGGTGGGTAAAAGATTAAACAAGTGGAAGATAAAAACAAAAACAAAATAGAGCCAGAAAGGAAAAGAACATGTATAGCATTTTGGATGGAGTCTTGGCATATTAGAGATGAAAGGGACCCCAGGAAATCATCTCACCCAGCTGTCTACTAAAAATATCAATCAACTCTATAATATCTGTGACAGATGACAGACAGCTTCAGTGATGGGAAATGCACTGTTTCACCTCAGTGTATCCTGTTGTTGGCTGCTCGTGTTGTTATCTAATACTTTCATTCAGTAAGAAACTCTGTATTCCAAAGAATTTCCGTGCCCCTTCCATTCCTGGTTCTTCCTTCTGGTGGTACAATAAATGAATCTAATTTTCTTTAACATTCAGTTTTCTTCATATATCATCATGCTTTCTTGACCCACCCCCACCTCTAACAGCGCACACAGGTACATACTAAATTTACTAATTTCTTCTGTTTTGCATATAATATGGATTCTAAACCCTTTATTTTTATTCTTGATACACTCTAGGCCATTGGTCCCTCTTAAAATATGGTATCTACAACTAAAAGTAACAGTCTGCTCTTATCTGCCCAGACCAGAATACAGATTGGTTTTCTTAGCTTTTCTTTTAGTATCTGATAGGAATTCAGATGTTTTGATCATCCCACTTTGGTGTAGATTTTATAGATCATGCCGAGGGCTTGTTTTTAATTCAGCTGCAGATCTCTACTCTGCATCTGACATTAATTTGGCATTAACATGAAAGGACATCCATTGGTACATTACCATCTGAGAGAGAAGGAATAGGTCAAAATGCCAGGATTGGCAAGGCTGCTGTGTCAGTGAGATAACTTTGCCCCTAAGTAAGATCGAGATATTCCCCTTAACTTTCATAGGCACAATTCAACTTGATAACTTTTCTAACTTTTTTTGGCTCATTGACCTCTTTTTGTTTTAGCTGCTTCGTAAGTAAGTTGGAGAATGTTATTAATCAATCTCCCAGACTCCACAGAACCAGAAACATGTATTCATTTAAAGAGGAAGGATAAAGAAGAGAGGATTGTTGGTGTTCCCAGGAGTAGGGAGCTAAATGGGTGCCAGGAAGTTAGAGGGTTTTCTGATTTCCAGGTTTCTGCCATGTGACAGTTAACCCAGTGATTATCAGTGAATACCTTATCTGTGCTTAGTTAATCACAGAGAGCCACAATCGTCTGTGTCTTTGATTGTGACTGGTATGAAAGATTTGCTGGGGCCAATCAGGAAGTTGGAGGATGCTTTTATAAAAGTGTCTAGCAGTTTCATAATTTTATTGAGAATTGTACTGTACATTGACAGCTTCAGTTATGAAGAATAGTTGATGACAGATGAGATTTCTGTTTTGAAGTCCTGACTGATAAACTAGAGATTTCTGGATCATGCTTCTTTTTGTCTTTTCAGTAGTATCCTCATGGGTAGTCTCCCTTAGCATAAAATGGCCAGGAAAGTAGGATCAAAAAACAAACAAAAAAGGAAGTTAAAAAAAAAAAAGATCAAACTTGTGTCATTACTTTCTAGAAGAGATTTAGAAAGTAATTTTTCTAAAGGTATAGCATACTGTTAAAGAGTTTGGGCTATTGTTAGGGCTACCTGGCTTCATATCCTTGTTGCTTTGTTGCTTATGAATCTTGGGCAGGTTACTTAAATGCTTTCTGTGCATTATTTTCCCATTTGTAAAAAGAGATAGTAATAGGGTTGTTGTGAGGATTACATGAGTTAATGCAAGTGGAGCTCTTAGAACCTGTACTGAATTGCGTTCTGTTTAAGGCTGTTAATCTATTGGACTGGAGCTTCCCCAGAAATGTATTTGGACTCATTGAAATCAGGAGGAAAGTAAATCCCAATAATAATGCTTCCCCTGTTAAATTGTTTTAAGAAATATATAATTGTTTTAAAAAATATATAGTCCCCCCCCAAAATGAATACCACCCTTATGTAAATTAGGCATTTGGATCTCATCTGTTATATTCTATTGTAATTTATATTTTTTATCAAGTAAGTAATCAGGGAAAATCTGTTACTGAAAAATGTCATCACAAATACTATTAATAAAATGGAATTGGTTTTTTAATATAATGTAAGCCAGGTAAATACTGTAAGGGAGGAAAAAGTTTTTTCTTGACCTAGTTAGGGTCCCAGGCTGGGTCTGAAAACTAAAAGGACAAAGATTTAACAGGAGAAAAGCACACAAATTTGTTTAATGTAAGTTTTACATGTCACAGGAACCTTCTTAAGGAAATGAAGGCCCAAAGAAACAGACCCACTTACTTTTTTGCTAGGTTCAATGAAGAGTAGACATCTCTGAGGAATTTGACAGATTAAGAAATATGAGGTAATTGTAGTTATCCAGGGAAAACTTAGCAAGGCCTGTTTGTTAGAATTCTTGGCATCCCTTTTTCTTTGGATAAGGATGTTCCTTTCCTCCAAATACAGGGTGGGCACCTTGCACATGAGGGTTTTATTACACTGTGAGGAGGGGAGGAGGTCATAGTGACCCTCCTGCTTCTGCCATTTTCTCAAACTTAATTCAGCTTAAAATATTTGATATACCATGATGCCAAATTTTGGGGTAGCATGTCAGTGACTGTGGTCAATGAAAAGGAAAGAAAATAATTGTGACTTACAAGTAATAGATTCATCCATCAATTTTATTAATATAAAAATATCATAGATCAGATTTCTGTGGCCTGTATTTTCATCAAGACACCCCCACCACACACACTCATGTGTACAAGCTAGTGAAAATAGACTCCATCCCAATATATATGATTTATTGCCAAATTTTTCTGTATTTTTCTTTAGGTTGCCAACTCTAGCATAATAATAAAATTGCATAGATTTTTTTTTTTTTTTACATTTTGAGAAGTTTCTCAATTCTTAAAGAAGAGAAACTAATATTTTATAGGAGAAAAATGGGTTTTAAAGCAGCATGTTATCCCATTTTAATTTAAATATGTGTATTTAATATTTGAATAAGAAAAAGTTTGGGAGAATCTATATCAAAAATGTTAACCAGGCACCTGTTTCTGGCTTTTAAGATTTGGAATGGTTTCGGGGCGCCTGGGTGGCTCAGTTGGTTGAGCGACTGCCTTCGGCTCAGGTCATGATCCTGGAGTCCCTGGATCGAGTCCCGCATCGGGCTCCCTGCTTGGCGAGGAGCCTGCTTCTCCCTCTGACCCTCCCCCCTCTCATGTACTCTCTCTCTCGCTCTCTCAAATAAAGAAATAAATCTTTAAAAAAAAAAAAAAGATTTGGAATGGTTTCAATATTTCTTCTCTAGTTATGTATATTTTCACATTTTTCCACAGTGAAATGTTTGTCATTAAAGGTAATGGATTATCGGGGCACCTGGGTGGCTCAGTTGGTTAAGGAACAGCCTTCAGCTCAGGTCATGATCCTGGAGTCTCGGGATCGAGTCCCGCATTGGGCTCCCTGCTCGTTGGGGAGTCTGCTTCTCCCTCTGACCCTCCCCTCTCTCATATGCTCTCTCTCTCTCATTCTCTCTCTTTCAAATAAATAAAATAAGAGAAAAAAAAAAAAAGGAAAAAAGTAAAGGATTATCTTTTTAAATTGTAGATGTGAAAAACCCCTGACTCGATTGCATGTCACTTATGAAGGTACCATAGAAGGAAATGGTCAAGGCATGCTACAGGTAGGTGGATCACAACAGTGTGCATGTGTTTGGGACTTACTCTTGCCAAGCTTCTGACAGCAAAGAAAATATGAAAACCTGTTTATTTATCTCCTAAACTGATTTAATGCAAAGAAGCATGATAGCAGAATGGAGAAAAATGCCAAACAGATCATTTTGACAGCCTTGGTAAGACTTATTTGCCAGTGTACGCTGTTTCTTAACGTGCACCTCTTTAAAAAGGCTTTGACAGAAAATCTTAAGATCTGGACAACATCAGGCCTCTTAGTTCAGACATTGATGTAGATTGACAGTGGATGAAGTTCCCAGAGTATGGTCTTGACAAGCCGTCACCAAGTAGTTTTGTTCTTTTTCTTTAAAGGCTCTTGCTCTGCCCCAAATGATGACCAGCTTGAAATGTTTTTCTACCACCAACCTTGTTTAGGTCTTAGGAGGCAGACATCTAAAACTGATTGATAAGAAAGTCCTCTCTCCCATATGTAACAGTTTCAGGCACATGAGCCAGCTATGCTTGCTGTCTTTTCCCTGTTTCAGAGCAGATTTTGCCCATCTCTCAATCTTTGTTACTAATCTGTGTTACTGCCTTTACTTTAAAAATATATATTTTTGGAAAAAGGAGTTAACAAAACACCCTCTGTATCTAGCTTTAAATTGTTGTAACACTTAACCTGAACATGTTTTTCTTTTGCTTTATAGTGATTTTTTAAAAATCACTAATCAGAGACAAAATGTTAGTGATTTGTGTTCATATCCCATTTATAAGAGCATTGTAATTTCAGTTTTCTTTGAAAGATGCTGTACATCATTTCACTTATACTGGAAATTGCTGATTTTTCTTCTTAGATCCTTATTTGGTGCTTATATTGGGTCAGAAGTTAAATCATTTTCCTGAGAATGGACTAACTTTTTTGAATAACAATGTATACTGTAAAATGACTAGACTCATTTGCATTTGGCTTCTTAGGATATATTTATGCTCTCAGTGCTTAGTGAAACTGAGATTCTTTTTAGAATGGCCTTTTCAAAGACATATTTGTAATTAAAATCTTCAAAGGGGCAAACCATATTTTGCTTTAAGTCACTCTCTCCCAGTAATTTTTTGAGATTATAAATAGAAATACTTAGATAACTGAATTAATATTTGTCTGGCACTTAAAATTTTTTAAAATTTGTATTTAATCATTACTTTTTTGTAAACAGTAATTTTGAAATATGCTTAAAATTTGTTTCAGATGAATGTTACTTTTTTCACACATTTCCATCTTGATGATGTTCTTTTCTACAAATCTTGGATTTAACTGAGGGAGTCTTAATACACATGAAATAAACAAAGCTACTGCTAGTTAGCACCACAGGAATGCTGACCTTTCCTCACAATACAATTCAGCAAGGAATTATTTAGCAACATTCAAGGTTGAGATTCTTCCCACTTTTCTGGAATATATTATAGATGAAATGTGAAACCTCAGTAGATTAAAAGAATTTTGTAAAGGCTTCTATTAATTATTCTCCCTACCCATGCCGTGTATCCCCAGGAGATCGGGGAATATTGTATTGCAATATTTCAAAGCTCCTTGTGTAGCATATAAATTACATTATACTGAATGGCAACAACAACAAAACCTCTCTAAGGATTGTTATCATTTCTCCCTTTTCATCAAGTTATAATTCAGAAACTGACTAATCTGAACAAGTAGCTTTAAAGTAAAGTGAGTTGGAAAATGGCTAAAAATAAAGAAGGCCTCGTATGCTTGTTTTCATGTACTGGAACAGGTTTCTCACCTGTAATAGAGAGTCTTTTATTAAGAACTTTTTTAAGTAGTAGAAAGTTTGATTTTTCTAAAAGACCCCTGCCTTCAGAGGCATATTGAGTTTAGTATAATGTATTTATTTCTGTGCATACCTTTCAAGTAATAAATGTTGGCCTTTTATTCAAAGAATGAATAATAGTATGCACATTGAATGTATTTCATTTATCATTACCAAGTTGTACATAAGTTGGATAGAACTTATCTTTTTATTTTAGTTGTGTACCTTGTTCCAGTAAAAATTAAGTTTTGCTGATTTCAAACCTTGTTTGTTTCTCATTTGTATTCACAGTACTGTTATGCTTAGCTAGTCTCTTGATTTTCAAGTGCTCTCCATTTAAATTTTTGCTGGGTCTCTCATTCCTTCACTTTCTTCCCCACTGACCTGTTTGAGGTCCTAGTAGTGCTTATCTAAACTATTCAGTAGTCACCTACCCAGCCTCTCTGCTTTTAATTTTACTCCTTTCCAATTCATTCTTTAAACTCTAGCCTGAATTATCTTTCTAAAACACAGGTCCAGTTGTAACTTTTCTTCCTAGGATTTTTCCAAGAACCTTCAAAATTAAGTACTTTCCTTGACCCCAGAATACCTCATCAGCAACTATAATCCTTCACATACTCTATATTGCAGACAGGCATCGGGAATCTGCTTAACACTGTCTTCATATAGCTCTGTACAGTTGTTTTTTCCCACGTCCTTGTGCAGTTATTCCCTCTGCCTGAATGTCAGCAAAATCTAGTTTGAATACCATGTCTCCTTGCTCCAATTTTAGTTAATTGTATTATTTGGGAAGGATCTAATACATTCTAGTAGGTTCTTTAGTAATCACCTTATTCTGCTTATGTGCTGGGATCTCATCTAGATTGCAAATGCTGTGAAGTCAGGGCTCATGTCATACTCATCTTTGTATCACATGGTTCCCAGCACAATATTCAGTTGATCTTTGTTGAACATTTTAAGCCATAAATCACCCAATGCATAATGACCTTATATGTTGAAAGCAGCTAATTCTAATCAATGGACTAGTTCAACTAAAATTAATTTTCTATATAAGCTAAAGAGTTTCTCTTTTTTATAGTGTTGATTTAGTATGCCAGAGTATAAAATATATATGGTTCTCTGTAATACTCATTTCAAGAACTTGTCTAGTCATATTTTTCAGTATTTCTAAGTTTTTCTCTAATGAAAGAAGACTACTTTACCTTCTGTTAATTTCTGTCTTTTTACATGTATCTTTATATATCAAAAGATTCGTATTCTTTCTTTACTCTTTTGTAAAACAGACTTCAAATTACTATGTAGTATCATAATTGCTTTAGAGAACAAGTTTTAGGAAATCTTGTATTTGACAATAGTCTGAAAGTATTTGTAAAATAATAGAAAAAACGTATATTGGTCTCTACCCCTGGTTCTTTGCACAGAGCTCCTAAAACCCCAGTAATATCCTAACTGATAAGAGCACTAGAGGCATCTTTTGTTCTGATATTTGGTCTTTGACCCTGATTTCCTGAAACAGAGCTCCTAAATCCCTTGGAATTTCCTAGGTGATAGGAGTGTGTTTTGTTCTGATGAGGTGACTTTTGGTGAGCTCCTGGATAGTTTCAGGATGGGGGCTGGTCACCAAAAAGATTAAGCCATGATGAGAGGTTTGGAACTTTTACCCTACCCCCATTTTCTGGTAACGGAAGAGGGACTGGAAACTGAGTTAATGCTTGATCATGCCTAAGTGATGAAGCTTCCACAAAACTCCCCAAAAGTACAGGATTCAAAGAGCTTCCAGGTTGGTGAACATGTGGAAGTACTAGGAGAGTGCCTTGCCCAGAGAGGCGTAGAAACTCTATGTTACATGGGCATGGTAACTGGGAAGAGGCATCTGTATCCCTTATTATATCCTTTTTAATAAATCAGTAAACATAAATAAGTGTTATCCTGAGTTCTGTGAGCTGTTCTATCAAACCACAGGAGCAGGTCATGGGAACCCCAACTTATAGCTGGTCAATTAGAAGTATAATTGACAACTTGGGACTTGCAGTTGGTATGTGAAGTGGGGCAGTCTTGTGGGACTGAATCCTTAGCCTGTGGGATCTGATGTGAACTCCTGGTAGATGATGTCAGAACTGAATTGAATTACAGGATACCTAGCTGGTGTTTCAGAATTTCTTGATGTGTAGAAACCCATACATCTGGTGTCAAAAGTGTTGTGAGTATGGTAGTAGTGTAAGAGGAAAGGAGAGACACAGGAGTATGTTTTTTCTATACGGTATATAAGCTTCTCTTATATTACTTACTAAATTCTTTTTGCATGTGTATAGCTATGTATGTACACAGGGTGTTGTGTATGTGTGTAATCTAAGTCCTCAAATAGAAAAATCTAAGGCAAAGCTGGAAACCATTAAGTTTTTATTAAAATTCCAGTTAACATACAGTGTAATACTACTTTCAGGTGTACAATTTAGTGATTCAACACTTAATTATAATACCTGGTGCTCATCACGAGTGTACTCCTTAAACCCCATCACCTATTTAACTTATTTAACCTATTTCCCCCCTCCCACCTCCCCTCTGGTAACCATCAGTTTGTTCTCTATAGTTTTTTGGTTTGCCTCTTTCTTGTGCCCCCCTATGATCACTTGTTTCTTAAATTCCACATGAGTAAAATCATATGGTATGGGTCTTTTTCTGACTGACTTATTTCACTTAGCATAATACTCTCTAGCTCTATCCACATTGTTGCAAATGACAAGATTTCGTTCTTTTTTATGGCTGAGGACTATTCCAGTTTGTTTATTTATACACACACATACACCCCACTCTTCTTTATCCATTTATCAGTTGATGGTAATTTGGGCTCTTTCCATAAACATGTACTCTGATGTTTATAAGTAGCATTATCAACAATAGCCACATTATGAATCTTTGTTGTTAAACTAGGTTTTCTGTTTTCATTTTTTTCCTTAGCTGTATTAAAAAAAATAGTTTGTAATGTTTACACAGTTTTGCATTTACAACTGAATTTAGGATGAAATTTCCATCTTTTTATTCTTTCACAGAAGAAAAAGGTTACCCAAAAAAGGGCAATTACTAAGTTTCTCAGTTCTTTTAGGACAAATGTTTGATTGCCATATTATATAAGAAAGATACAATTAAAGTCATAAGAAATCCAGAAATGGAAATTGAATAGTGAATGGTGTGGAAATGATCTTAAAACCTTTCCAAATAGTTTCCCTTGATTTGTGGCCCTTGGAGTACATAGAAGGTTTGTAAACAAGAGTCTGTATAATTACATTGAGGCTTTTGCCTAAAAGCTCCGTTTTCCAGGTTCCTTCTAAGGTTTTAGAATCCAAAGGAATAAGCAGAGATGTTAACTGCAGTGAGATGGAAAGAGTACATTCAACCACAACCTATTCTCCCTGGGAAGATTACTAATTTGGGGATTGATTTATATGGGAAATGAAAGGAAGAGGGAGAGTACTTCTTTATCATATATGTAGGTATTTAGATCATCATTTAACATGCCACATTTTCCCAAATAGGTGGATTTTGCAAACCGTTTTGTTGGAGGTGGTGTAACCGGTGCAGGACTTGTGCAAGAAGAAATCCGCTTTTTAATCAACCCCGAGTTAATTGTTTCACGGCTCTTCACTGAGGTGCTGGATCACAATGAATGTCTTATCATTACAGGTTAGTTATGGGAAGTCTGTATGATAGAGTAGTTTTCCCCATCTATGAATATCTATCATGAAGGCTAGAAGCCACCAAGATATCGCTATTCTGTATCATGGGCATTAGTCCCTATATTTTTATTGATTAATTCTTGGTTTTTTGAAATTGTTATAGTTTTATTTTCCTAATCTTGAGTAAGACATTTTATTCCCACCTTTTCTTTCTTGGCATCTTTATCTGAGGAACAAGGGTAAAAACTATGCATTTACCCTCCAGTTTGAAATTTTATGATATAATGCCCTTAAAAAGAGGATAGTGATATGTCTTTGAACATGTATTCTATTATTATTCTTTATTTTTTAAAGATTTTTTAAATTTATTTGACAGAGAGAGACACAGCGAGAGAGGGAACACAAGTAGGGGGTAGTGGGAGAGGTAGAAGCAGGCTTCCCGCAGAGCAGGGAGCCTGATGCGGGGCTCGATCCCAGGACCCTGGGATCATGACCTGAGCCGAAGGCAGATGCTTAACGACTGAGCCACCCAGGCGCCCCCTATTATTATTCTTCCATTATGTTTCCATAGTGCTTTGTTATACTTCAGTATGAAGACCTATATAAATAAAAAAAACACAGTTACAGTAGTCAGAGAGAATCAGTAAAACAGAGAGCTTTTATAGAAGAGAAATAAATCAGTAACCTTATATTAACCCAATTTCTAATCCTAAGAGAAAAAAATGTGATGATCTGAGTGGCTTTTCTTGATTTAAGTTAATATGGGAGGAGGAGAGAGGGAAATATGGTCAAATTTATACTTTAGGTCTATTACTGAGATTTAAATTTTTTATTTAAGTTTTTTTAGCTTGAGATACTACTATGTCACTGTATTTTCTTGTGAATGAGCTACAAAAAAACTAATGATTAACTCATAGTTCTTAAGAAATTCTTAATCAGCCACCATAGGTAAGTTAAGCCTTTTATTCAAGGAACATTCCCACATAAAAGCCATAATCAAGTCATCTGCTGCTGATACTTTTTTCTTTCTGCAAAAGGATTTCTTATTTCCTTTTTGAATCTGTTGCTGCTTTGAGATTAGTGTAGAAGACTAAACACTCACCTGGTTTGGAGAATTTGGTTGATTGTTATTCTGAAAGATTATAATGAGAGAAAAACCATCCCCTATGAGTTATATCAAATTTATACTCAACTAATTAACCTCCAAAGAGGTACATGCCAGAACTAAGACTCTGAGATCTAAGCCTGAAGCCACTGTCTTTGCTTCAGATATATTTATAGGCAACTTTCAGGAGAGTATCTAAATTTTGTTCCTTATATTTTACTTTTAAGATTTACTTTTAAGATTTTCTCCTTGTCTTTGAACAGTTTGATTATGATGTGGTTAGGATCTCTTTGATTTTATCCTATTTGGAGTTCTTTGAGCTGCTTGAATGTTTAGATAAATTTGGGAAATTTTTGACCACTATTTCTTTAAGTATTCATTCTGTCCCTTTTTTTCTTCTCCTTCTGGGAATCCCATTATGCATATGTTGGTACATTTGATGATGTCCTATTGGTCTCTGAAGCTCTGTTCATTTTTCTTCATTCTCTATTCTTTCTCAGACAGGATAATTTCAGTTGACTTATCTTCAAGTTTATTGATTATTTTTTCTGCTTGCTCTAATCTGCTTTTGAATTCCTCCAGTGAAATTTATATTTCAGTTACTGTACTTTTCACCTCCAGAATTTCTATTTGGTTCTTCTTCTTTGTCTTTTTTTTTTTAAGATTTTATCTATTTGAGAGAGAGCACGAGCAGGGGGAGTGGCAGAGGGAGAGGCAGACTCCCTGCTGAGTAGGAAGCCCACAATGCAGGGCTCCATCCCAGGACCCTGAAATCACGACTTGAACCAAAGGCAGATGTTTAACCGACTGAGCCACTGGTTCTTCTTTTTAAATAATTTCTGTCTCTTTTTTGAGTTTCTCTATTTGTGAGGCATTATTTGCATACTTTAGTTCTTTGAACATATTTAAATAGCTAATGTCTTTGTTTAGTAAGTCTAACATCTGGTCTCCTCAGGTACATTTATAGTTGACTACCTTTTTTACCTGAGTAGGTATCTTACTTTCTCTTTTCTTTGCATATCTCAATTTTTTTTTAAAGATTTTATTCATTTATTAGAGAGAGTGTGTGTGTGCACAAGGAAGGGGGAAGGGGCACAGGGAGAGGGAGAAGCAGACTCCCTGCAGAGCAGGGAGCCTGATGCGGGGCTCGATCCCAGAACCCCAGGATCATGACCTGAGCTGAAGGCAGATGCTTAACCGACTGTGCCACCCAGGCGCTCTTGCAAAATCTCAATTTTTTGTTGAAAATTGGACATTTTAATAATGTAGCAACTCTCAGAATCAGATTTTCCCCTTCCCCCAGAGTCTGTTTTTGTTGCTATTTGTTATTGTTATTTAGTGACTTTCCTAAACTAATTCTGTAAAGTCTGTATTCTTTTTTGTGTATGTTCATTAAAGTCTCTACTTAGTTAGGTTAGTTTAGCTAATGATTGGACTAAGATTACCTTAAATGCTTGGAACCAATAAGTCAATCTTTTCTGAAGGACTCTGTGTATACATTGGGGCTCACCTTCAATACTCTACCAGGCCATTGACATTTGCTTTCTGCTTGCACTTGGCAGTTCATTTATTACTTGCATAGAGCCTCAAGGTCAGAGTAGTGAGCTTAGGACATTCCCAGGTCTTTCGTGAGCATGTGCACAGCCATGGTCATGCATGTAGACTTCTGGATTCCTGGGGATACTAAGAATTTTTTAAAGCCCCTTATAGATATCTCATTCTTCAGCTTTCCCTTTGAAACTTTTTGGTTAGCCTATTATTTGCTCCAGCTGATGTCTACTGCCTCAGGTAGCCATACTATTAAGCAATTGCATGAAATTGTTTTCAGTAAACACCCCTGGGGATTAGGCTCTTTGCACTGACTTGATGCACTCCAAGTCAGGTCAAATAAAGACGGCCTTACGAGTGAGGTCTTCCAGGGAGCCACCAGACAGGTCAGATGATGACAGTTCTCTGAGAATGGGGCTTTGAAGGAACTTCATCACTCTTCTGACCCCTTTCGTGGTTTTTACTGTGATTACAAACTGTTGGTTTTTAAGGCTACTCTAGAGCTCAGGAGAGTGGAATAAAAATAGGGAGCGTTAAAATGTCACAAAGCTCATTGTTTTTACCAAGATTCAGCCAATTTTTCTTTAATGAACCCTCCTCAGACTGCTGCAAGCCTTTGGTTAATTCCCACAGTTCAGAAAAAGTTGATTCTTATAATTTTTGCCAGTGTTCTCATGGCTTTTATGGAGGAGAAAATTTTCGGAGGTTTTTATTTAATCATTTTTGCTGATGCATCCTTACCTTTGGTAAGTGCTTGTTGGGGAAAAAAAAAGGCTTTCAACAAGTTATTCCACATTATTTGGGTATCTTATTATTTCTTATAATATCTCTGTGATTCTGCTCTTTTGTTAATTTTCTAAGTTTTTGTAGGAAATTCAGAATGGAACCTCAGCAAAGAAACTTCCTTTTGGATAAAGCCTCAACTATTTGAAGTTAATAACCAAAGTATTTCATCCAGAATCCTGAGGTTGTAATCCATATTGTACCAAAATGTAAAGATAAAACCCTTCTATCTTCACTGTTGTCTCAACTCCTTTATTGGTCATCTGTCTGCTATTATTGTTTATTATGTGTACAGATAGGAAGAATGCAGTTGGAAGGTATTAAGGGGAAGGAAAGTGCAAGGGATTGCAGAATAAAAAAATTAAACTGTCATAAATCCAGTGTTGGGCCAATAGATACTTTGAATATGAGTCTTATAATGTTTTAGAGAGCTCTGAAGGTCTGGAATGTGACTGTCTCCAGCATTTGGGTGTTATCAAATAATACTTCAAAAGATTTTTAATTTTTAACAGCTAAGCTAGATTTGAACTAAAGACTCAGGACAGAATATTTCATAAGTTTTAAAGATGAGTTTACATCCTTAAAATAAAAAAGTTGGTAGAATGCTGGGTATTTAAACTCAGAGCTAATTTGTTTCATTTGCTTTATTTCTTCTTTACTAGGAGAATAGTAGTTCTCTTATCATCTACCATTAGTGTCGCTGTAAATAAAAGATGTAATTTTCTTCCTAATAATAAAAGGAAAACACTAGAATTTTTTTCTTTTTTTAAAGATAGTTTGTCCCCAGTCTAAAAAAAAAGATCACCATTCTGGAGTTATATCTGTTCTCTACCTTACCTATAGCTATTGTAAAATGAATGGAAAATTGCAAATCCATGACTCACCTTCACATCTATGATTACTTCAGGCTAGGGACATCCGGGGTGACTTTTAACTCAGCATTTTTCCCCACATCCACTTAACTCTATTATAGTGCCTTCTAATTAATATCTGTATGTGATGTTCCCATAATGGAAATGGCCATTTCATCATCTATTTGATGTTGGATTTCTGCCATCTCTCTTCTCAGGAGACTCTTAGCCATGCACTGCAATCTATCTGCCTGATCAATTCCATTCCTTCAATGATTCATCCAGGCTCAGTGAGCTAATGGCTGTGACTCTGCTGCCTGAATCTGTAGAAGAGTTTGAGAAATTAGAAATAAATTAAATTTATCATCATTTTGGGGCATCTGGTTGGTATCAGACTTTGAAATGAATATGAAACAGGTCATGAAACAGGCAAATACTTTTATCCAGATAGTGTTATCCCTCTATTTGCTGTGATCCTCCCTGGAGGCAGCCATGAGTTAAAACCTTTCAGTAAATATAGATAGAAAGAATCTCCAATCTTACCCGCCTCTTTTTCCCCCCTTTTTCTCCCTTTCTTGTGTTCTTCTACATCAACCAGCAGATAGCTTTAATGCGAAAGGGTGTTACCATGGTTCTAAGAGTTTGTTTTATTGTTTCAGTGTGGTGAGTACTTAAAGCGGATGCCTAGACATGAAACTTACTGAGCAGAATGTTAGTACA